ACATCTGCTGGGTGCCTCTGGGGCCTCATCTCTTCATTCTGGCCCTTGCCCAGAGGACTTATCCTCTGCCAGCCCACTGTTGATGCCAGTTTCATGCTGCCTTGTCGCACCCACATGGGCTGTCCCCCAGGCCTGACCTGCTTTCCTCATGCCGACTTCCTCTCCTGCGTTCACCCCCAGGTTCTACCTCAGAGCAGGTGTTCTCAGAGGTCTGTTCCGGATTCTCCGAGAAGTCTTCTCAAGTCACTCAGTGCTGTATATCTGTGTATGCCACAGACTGATAGCTGTCTTACATACTGAAGGTCTTGAGATAAATATGCGAGTTATACAAATATATCAATATTGTTCCATTAGTTGTGTAGAACTGAGAGTCAGACTCACTCCATCTGGTGCTCAGGTGGCCCTGTTGAGACTCCAGGGGAAGGCAAGAGCAAGCATCCTGATTCCCTCCTTGTCTGCTGCTGTGAAACATTGACTACTTAGTGATTCCTCCTTAAGACTATAAGACAAAATCAAAAACAAAAACACAGGGACCAGACAGAGGGTACAGGGGTAAGGTACTTGCCTTGCACATGGCCAAGCCTGGTTTGAAGCCTGACACTGCATATAGTCCCCTGAGCCCCACTAGGATTCATCCTTGAGCACAAAGTTGAGAGTCAACCCTCAGCACTGCCAGGTTGACCCCATAACAAAAACCGAATAATTATTGCCTGTTCTCCCCTTAGTAAAGATTACGAAGGAAACAAAAGGGTCACCAACCGATTGACACAAAAGTCTCCTCCTTGTAGTTTTATGCCTGAAGATGTCTGTCAACCAATCCATAAGTTTCCAACTGATATCTTGAGCTTACCTAGATCACTCCCTTGCTTAAAGCTTAAAACTCGGGGCTGGAGCAATAGCACAGTGGGTAGGGCGTTTGCCTTGCATGTGGCCAACCAGAGTTCTATTCCCAGCATCCCATATGGTCCCCTGAGCACTGCCAGGAGTAATTCCTGAGTGCATGAGTCAGGAGTAACCCCTGTGCATTGCTGGGTGTGACCCAAAAAGCAAAAAGAAAGCTTTAAATTCTCCTAGGTTGGGGCCTGAGAGATAGTGGGGGTGGTGGTGTGGAGGGGTAGAAGTGCTTGACTTTCATGAAGCTCACTCCCATGTGCAATCTCCCAGCCCCCCAGTAACCAGAGGCTCTTCCCTGGCATGCTCCAAGGCACCCACCATCACAATTTCTATTTTCAAATAGACGCCTTTTTGATTATAACCCAAACTGACTGTTTCCAAACAGACAGCTAACTAGCTTATGTCTACCCACCCCGGTTCCATAAAAGAATTCTGGGATTGGGTTCCTTATTATGTCTCCCAGAACCTAGAATGGCAGCAAGTGCGTCAAAGGGCTTTCCATAAGTATTTGCTGAGAACATCCCTGAGTGCTGACGCTGCTGAAGCACATAGGGTCCCACTCCTGGGGTTATTGATGGATGGTTTATAAAACCATTCACAGGGTCCTAGAAGGCTGTGAGCACAGGCTCCATCCCAGAAGGCAAGGCAGAGCCACTCTCCGAGAGGAGGACACATCTCTGAGCTTCTTGCGACCACACCCTGTCTCAGCCATGTGAAAGGCAAGGGCGAACTCCTTCGTCGCTTTCCTTCCCGAGTGACTGTGTGCACACTCCTGTTTTTGCTGCAATATCATCTCAGCATTAAAATGTTGAAGCTAATCAGACATTTAATTTCAAAGTGGAAGGTCATTATCTTGTCACAAAATTTTATTCCAATTACTTTTTTTTCCCTATTATACGAAATGAATTAAAAGTAGCACAAAACATTGGGAGATCAAACAGTCAATCAGAAGCTCATTAAATATCATTGAAATTGGTGCAATAAAAAGCATTTCCCATGGCTGAGTTATTATTTAAAAGCTATATTCTGCCTGGCTCAAGGAATTGACAGGCTGCCAATCAAAAAAAAAAATCACCCAGTACATAAATAGCCATTGGCTTTAGAAGTTCACAGTTCAGTTTGGGTTTGGGATATGTGTGTGTGTATGTGTGTGTGTGTGTGTGTGTGTGTATGTGTGTGTGTTTTGTAATTTGTAATTTAGCATTTTGTCATTTGTTTTGGTTTTGTCTTGTCTTTAGATAAGAGTAAATCCTTACAAAGATTTCATCCTAGGTAACCTTAAAGATTTTTTGTCACTATCTGATAGCTGATGGACACAGAAGCAGGTGACTGATAGACTCAAGATCTGGAAGCTCATTATTTTTAAATATATGGGATTTTTCCTTTGGGGGCTTTTTGTTGTTATTGTGAAACCATTAATTTTATTATTTCTATACTTAGAATCAACCACTTTGGGTACTGAAAGAGGGAGTGGGGGTGGATCACAGCCTGCGGTACCCAGGTCTTACTCCTGGCTCTTCACTCAGGTATCACTTCTGGTCTAAGCCACATGGAGTGCAAGGGATGTAACCCAGGTTGACCACATTCAGGGCAAGACCCTACCTACTGCCCAGAAGCAACCAATTTTTATTTATTTGTTTTTTGGGCAACATTTGGCTGGCTTAGTTCAGGGCTTGCTTCTGGCAGTGCCGGGAGACTATAAGCAATAGCTATGAGCTAACCTGGATCAAATGCATGCAAAGCAAGTACCTTACACCCCTGCACTAGATCACTGGCCCCAGGAATCAATCGCTTTGATGTAGAGGATGCCATATCTTCCCAGGTGGTGAAATATGACAGAAGTACTGTTACCTATTTCTTTGGGTGTTTAAGTAAAGATCTGAGTGGATGAGAAAGTTCCCAGGTCTAAGAGTTTTCATCTTTAAGGAAAGAGCTGATGAATTTCTCCCTTCCAAGCCTCTCACCACAGTACTACCAGCCAAATCTCTTTTCAAAAGCCAGGACTACTGGCAAATTATCTGAGAATAAAGTGGGAGGGAAATACTTTGATGCAAAATTCAGAACAGCTTTATAGAAAGAAAAGTGTGGAGAGTTTGTTATCATTTATTTCCTCCAGTATATCATTCCATTTTGGCTGTCTCTCTCAGAAGAAGCACCCCCATTTCTCACTTATGTGCCTCAGAAACATCTCTGGCATCTCATTCTCTCTCCCTATCTTTCACCAGCATTTCATTATTTCTTAACTGTCCCTCTCATGCCTGTCTCCTTTTTCCCGGATGATCCACGTGTCCTCATTTAGCAGTTTTCAGAAGCCAGGGAGAAACGTTGCAAATAATGTTAAATATGATTAATATCTTGAATTCCTTGAAATATGACATGCATGAGTTACAATGAAACCTCTTTTATTTCCCCATGAAATGCTTTTGCATAATGAGAAAGAAAATGTCCTCTATGCCCTAATCAGCCTTGACAGTTCCTGGACTCCCAAATACTTTTATTTATGGCATTATTTATTTCAACTCTAATAAATGGAAGGGGGGAACCACAGCAGATCAGAAAATGCTGCAGGGGACAGGGATGGGGGGGTGATCTAGGGTGGTGGAACACAGGAGCTCAACTAGCTGAGAGAAAAAGGCTTCCAAAGGGAGATCTGGGAAAATGAAAGGCCAAAGACTAGAACCCCAAAAGAAGAAAACAGGCCAGTTTCACAGGGACTAAATGGAAAGTTCTGAGAAATAACTTCGGAGTGGATAAATCAGGGTCATGTATCAAGGAAATCTACTCTGGAGAATCAAGAGGCAGTGGGGAGAATAGGGCTGGAGTTGGCCTAAGGAACTGGCAACTGATGTCTGGGAGAGGCCAGGTCAGGTTAGATTAGAAGACACCTGTTCCCCGTGGCACACCTCCAAACCAGGGAGCTTTGCACTAGGAGAAGGCCAGCTGACTTGGCCCAGACCAAGACACAGTCACTGGCTGCAAGCATATAAATACATTAAATGCCCATGCCCGTTGAAAATAACCCAAGGTTATTTTCACCAGCTCAGGTCACCGAGGAGGTCCCTTCAGTTGCACAATCTACCTTCTCCAAACACAAGTGAGGAGATCAGATTTCAAGAGTCAGGTCCCAGCACACCTTCCCAAGAAGCATCTGCCTCCAGGTGCTAGTCACTGGGGCCTCGGTGTTCTCATCTGTGTGATGGGAGGGGAAAGATTCTGTTATGCAGACTCCGGGCCCCTAGAGGGAACTAAAGAAAGAAGGTGCACATCGGAAGCCCCGTGCCCTCTTACACCCGCACGAGAGTTCCCAAGCCACGCCGCCTTGGAGAGCTCAAGACCTTCCCCCCCGCCCACACCACCCCCAGCAGTTTGGCCACGCCAACACAGCGGAGCAACTTGAGTTGAGATGTTCTTTTCTGATGATGGGGTGAGTACTGCCTCCCCACCCCACCCCACCCCCCAGTAAGACAGTAGAGAGGGGGTTGGAGGACAGAGAAAGAATTGGCCCTAATTCCAACCCCCACCCCGCACCCAGCTACCCCCAACCCCTACTTGCAACCTTGAGAGTTGGAAGTCGAGCTGGACGGGTGGCCTGGAGACCCTCTTCTCCGAAGCTGGACACTTGACCCCACCCCCAGCCCCAGCAGAATCTCAGAGGGAGGACCCCCGCATCTGGGGTGCTCTGACCCTGGCCAGACCCCACCTTGGTCACCTGTTAACCGGGGGCATCCTCAGAGTCTGGCTCACCGCTTCCCCACACCCCACTCCACATTCCGCCCCCACGTCGGGGTTCACGGAGCCCCCCACGCCCCCCCCAAACACCGACCGGCGGGCAGCCCTCCCCAGGGCCCCGCCCCCCATTATCATTAGCAGATATTACCCCCAAACACTTGCTCTTGAACTCCTTTCTCCCTCCAGGCATTGGCGAGGCCGCCTGTCAATCAGCGCTCGGGCGGCAGCCCCCCGCGCGGGGGCCCGGCGATGCCAGCCTCAGCGACAGGCGGCAGTGGCGGCGGCGACGGCGGCCACGGCACCCACGACACACACCCTCCTCCCACTCGCGCGCACCCGGGCAGCGCCGGCGGGCGGGCGGCGGCGGCGGCGGCGGCGGCACCCTCGGAGCCCGGCGCCCGGCGGGGAGGAGGGGGCGTGCGAGCGGGCACCGGCCCGGGGGCGCGGGATGGAGGAGGAGATGCAGCCGGCGGAGGAGGGGCCCAGCGTGCCCAAAATCTACAAGCAGCGCAGCCCCTACAGCGTCCTCAAGACCTTCCCGAGCAAGAGACCGGCGCTGGCCAAGCGCTACGAGCGACCCACCCTGGTGGAGCTGCCGCACGTCCGGCCCCCGCCGCCCTTCCCGCCGCTCTCGGCCGTCTCCATCAGCAGCAGCGAGCCGCCGCCGCCGCCGCCGCCGCCGCCGTTCCCGGCGCAGAGCTCCTACCCCCCGGGGCCCGGCCGGGCCGCCGCCGCTTCCTCGTCGTCACCGTCCTGCACGCCCGCCGCGTCCCAGGGCCACCTGCGGACTTCGGGGGCGCCGCCGCCCGCGGCCCCCGCCGCCTCGTCGTCCTCGTCTTTCGCCGCCGTCGTCAGGTACGGCCCGGGCCCGGCGGTGGCCGCGGGCGGCGGCGGCGGCGGCGGCGGCGGCGGCGGCAGCAGCAGCAGCAACAGCAGCAGCAGCAGCTGCAACAGCAGCAGCAGCAGCAGCAGCAGCAGCGGCAGCACGGGCGGCGACGGCTGCAGCCTGGAGCTGAGCGCAGGTACCCGCAACTCTCTCGGACGCAACTTTCCGGCAGCGGAGGGCGGGCGGGGCGGGGGTGGGGGCATGTGTGTGTGTCTGTCTGTCTGTCGGGGCGCGGGGGGCATCGGAAGGGGCGGCTGGGGACCCGCGGCCAGCGCGCTCTCACGCGCACGGAGAGCGAGCGGGTCGGGGCGCACCCCCAGAAGAGGCCCCGCGACGACGCGGGCTGCAACTTCTGCAGCCTTGGCCACCGCGTCTCGGGCACAGACGGCGCGCGCGCCGAGCCTAACAGGTGGCTCTGCCGCTCCGAGCCGCGTTGGAGCCCGATCAGCCGGCGCGGTGCTGGCGACCGGGAGGCCGGGGTGTCTTTGGGTGGGAGACGGGGAGGCGTCCCCGTCGCTGGGATCACGCGCCACTAGCGTCCACCTCCCCGCTCCCCCCCGGAGTGTGATAGCGGGAACTGGGGGAGCTCACTCCCGCCGGGAGCTCACTTCCCCCCGCCCCACTTTTAAGACGCTCGCCCCTTTTCCTTCCGCGTGTTTTTTCCTTTCTCGAGACTTTTGTGCCTTCTGATCTGCTTTTTGACTCCTTTGGGGGGGGCGGGAGGAGGAGCGGATCCTGGCGCTCTGCACGCTCCGGTCGGCCGACTCCAAGGCTCTCTGCGCTGGTGTTTCGGGAAGGCATCGCTGCCTCTGCCCATTACTCTCGGGGTCTCACTGCGCTTTTGCCACCCCAGCGTCCCAGCTCCGGGATTGTAAGGCACCGGGCTGCCCGCTCCTGCCCAGGCACGGGCGCTGGCCTCCGCGGCCCGCTTGTCCGCACCCCCGGAGCTCGGGGGCCCCGAGCGCGCATCGGCTTCCAGCCCCAGCTGAATAGACACTGCTGCCCCTTACTCCTGCCGAGCCCCTCAGCTTCTGACCTGCAGGAAGGCCTGGTGCGCAGCGCCCGCCCTGGGGTACCAGACCAGGGGCCCGATGGCCCTCCCCTTCCCCGAAAAAGGCAGTTAGCCGGTCCGCTGCAGGGCAGGGTGTGCTGGGGGCGGGGAAAGGCCCTGGCCTGGGGGCTGTACCCAAAGTCCCTGGGCCAGACGTGATGGCCGCGCCTATCCCTTGGGTAGAACTAAAAACTTTCAAGTTCCTGCCAAGGCCTTCGCAGGCACTTCGGAGCCCACCCCACCCACCCACCCAATAATGCATGTCAGTGAACTAAAGGCCTTTTCTCATCCTAAATGTGCTTTGTCTGTAAATGAGTTATAGGTGCCGGCGCCTCCGTTGGGCTGTTTGTCAATATTTTGACACATGAAGGATGGGTTTTGAGAAAGAAAATCTAATTACAGGTTATAGTGAAGACTTGTTTTGTCATACCTTCCTGATCTGTTGGAGATGTTCCATGGCTTGGAGTGGGGTTTGTGCAGAGGTGTCCTGATTTGTGTGGGGAGTCTTGTTGGTTCCGTTTCCCCGGTTTTCTCTCTGTATGTTGTTTTTTTATTTTCTTACTTTTATGTTTCTCCAGTAGTCTACTCACCCGTTTGCCTTATTTTCTTCCCTTTTTCTCCTTAATATTTTGCGTGCTTTCTGTATGGAATCTTAATTATTTTCTTCCCTTCTTTTTTATTCATGTCCTTGTTTGCGTCCCAGCTCTGCTACATCTTTTTCTTTTTCAGAAGTTTGGGCCCTTTTTCCATTTTCTCTTATTTTCCTGATTCCTTGGCTCTCCCTTTCTTGGTCCAGTTGTCTTAGTCACATCTTGCTGTCTGCCAGTGTTTCATACTCATGAGAATCTGTCCCCTCCTCTTTTTTTTCCATTTCTGTCGTTTTAACTTGTTTTTCCCCCCTCTTGCTCAAGAATTTCTTTCCTTTTCATATTCCCTTGCAGCCTGGCAACTTCCCTGTTGACTCTGAGTTCATAAAGTGAAAGTTGGTATGGTTTCCCTACCTCATATTAAGTATTCTCTTATTTTTTTGTTGCTGCTTACTGCAGTGATGGGGATCAAACCCAGGGCCTAACACATGGAAATCAAGTGCTGTACTGCTAAGTCACAGCCCCATCTCCTAAGTACTTTCTTACAGTGCTTTTCAGTGTCATACTTCGTTGGTTTTCTGCCCTCATGTGGAAGTCACACCCTCACTGAATCTAAATAGGTGAACGGAGCCTTTGTTGATACCCTGTCAGTGCTCTCTATTTCTTAGTTCTCTTTATTCACAATGCTTCTCTTTTTCATTCTTGGAGAAGGTGGTGGAGCAACGTGCCTGATGGTACCAAGGGTAGGATGTCATGAGCTTCTTGGAAAGACTGGAAAAGCATGGTAGGTTTCTCCCATGCAGTGAGAATAGTCAAGGCACAGACCAAAAAGAAAATAGAATTAGGAGTTGTGTTCATGATGTTGCCTATTGGTGGACAGAGCCATGTCTTAGCAGTCTGGGTGATGTAAATGGCCTCCAGAGGGACAGGAACCTGAATAGCTGATTGGTTCCTGGAGGAATGAGTGGTTCCACTTTGAACCAATGAGCTTGGGCACAGGCTTGGGACCATTTCAGCCCCACCCTCACCCCTCTGAGTCTAGGGAAGAGTCTGGCTTGAGCTCACCCACCACCCCCCCAGTATTACTGAAATATGGAGGGTTGCCTCATCTATTGAAACTCTTCAAAAGACCCATGTGATAAAGTGAATCAGGCGAGAGAAGCGAGATAACTGAGAGTCCAGAGTCAAGGTGGTGAAAGATGAAAGGGTTTGAAGTGACTCTTCCTTGCCATTAAGGTCCATAAACCATTGAGAGGAGAAATATGTGATTAAAATTAGATTTTTCCCACATTCTTATAAAACCTCATGAAGAGTATAATTTTCCTTAAAAGGGATAATATACAATGGTTTTAAAGGCATATTTTTCCTCTGTGGGAGGCTTAGAGTTAAAGCCCACGTAGATCTTGATATGCAGCCTAAATTTGGCATCAGGAAATGGGAAATTGCATCTTTAAGCAGAGTACAATCAAAAATGAATTACAATAAATCCTATATAATTGCATAGGTCATTCTCTTTAATGAGATTTTATTAACCTGACTGTCAAGCTTTTGAGTCAGGCAGATATTTTATCTTCTTCAACTGATAAAAGTGTCAGCTATAAACCACCATATAAATATTCATAAATCTACACATCTGTGGCAGCCTATCAGCATCATTCTTTTGGACATTAAAAGCATTCTAATTACTTTCTGTCTAGCAGAGCTGAAATGCTGCCTGTTATAGTATGTGCTTGGCAGGCATGATTGCTTTTGTTTGCATCACAAATAGCAGCATCCTATTTTATATACCGATGGTCCAGAAAATATTCAGGGATTGACTGAGCAGGATGAATATTAGGAAGCACCATCTGGTTTTGATAGCACCAAGTATATTAACTCATCTGTTAATTTTTGACACATCATTGATTTATTTATTTAGAAAAATCGCATTCTGTTTCGCGGTGTTGATGTTTGCCATTAAGGGGTGGGGGGTGGATTGCATTTTTTTTAAAAGGCATAGTTCATTGATTGAAGACAAGGGTGACGCTTTCATTTGCTGACTTCTATTTCCTCTGCCATGAAGTCTCCTCTTAAAAAAGAAGTTACACGAATATTTCCAGAGAATCCTCTATTTTGAACTAGTCGAGAATCCTCTTGGTAGAGAGAGTATATGGAGATGTGATATTAGGTCACAAAAATTTTTTATGACTGCTGCATTTTTAATATTAATATATTTCACCCTTCACTGGACTAAAATCAAAAGGTTACCACTAATCTCAACGACTGTGATCTCCTTCTTAGAAACAGAATACTCTTGGGGATATGCTCTGATGGGCAAATCCCATTCAAGGCTTTACTCACAAAGAAGGACATTAAAGTGGGGAGCCTGTATTTGATTGCCAAGTTGCCATCCCTCTTCCTAGTCACTTATCAGATTAAGGATGGATTAAACCACTTAAATTCAGAAGAATTTCTAGCAATGAAATTTAATTAAAAAAATAATCAGGGGTTCAGATTTGGGAGTCAGACTAGGCGCAACTGGGGGGTTTGAGTTTATCTATACCCTACCGCCTGCACAAAAAGCAACATAAATGAGTGAGAAGTGATCATTTTGTGAGTGCTTGCTGATGGTGATTTATTAGCATTCTCGGGCATTTCATTTTTGAGAGGTTAGGCATAAAGTAGTTAGTTTTTGTAAAATGCACATTTTCTACTTCCCTGCTGTCTCTTAAGTGGAACATTCTGGGTTTTTTTTTCTTCTGGGGGCGGGAGGTGGGGCAGTTGAGGCTGTATCCATTATCCATCGGTGTTCAGGGTTTACTCTGACTCTGTGCTCAAGGATCAATCCTTGTTGTGCTTGAGAGACCATATGTGGTGGTGAGGATCGAACCCGGGTCAACCTCATTCAAGGCAAGTGCCTTACCCTGTGTACTATCTCTCAGGCCCTTAAGTGGAACATTCTGTGATGGAAGAAGGAGGGGGTACATGGGAGACAAAACAGTTTTAAAAATTCAAAACACATGTTCACACTTTGCTCATTAAGAATCGTGGATCAGTGGCCATTCAATTGTGTTCATATGAAAACAGAACTTTTCTCCATTTCTTGGCGATAATGGGCATCACACAGTCCTTGCATTTCTAATTATATTCTGTCTGGAAAGCTAAAGTATTCTGACTGCATTATGTAGTAAGTGGAAAGATTGGCTGTTTTTCACCAAGAGTAATGGTAATATTTTTCATCGCTCGACAATGTATTGATATTAAAGACTCTTCCAATGTTTTAAGATACCAAAGAAGAGGCGCAATTCAACAGCCAGGGTTGCTGTTGTTATTTTAGCACTTATCAATCCTGAATACAAATTCAGAATAAAGCATTTGGAAAAAACTGCAGGCAAGAATTGTTGGATGGTATTCTCTGACATTCTGAGTGCACTTTAATACATTATCTTCATAATGTAGTATATTACATAATGGGTTTTTTTTCTCAACATAGTACAGGTTTATCCTTCAATTAAGAAA